ACGATAACACACAGTGGGTCACTGTATAATGGATGGTATTACATTTGAATTCAATGTTATTATATCATTGTATAAGAAAAACGATTCTGAGCGGAGACGGTATGTCTGTCACGGTTTTACGAGATATTGTATAGGTACATATCTATGGAATTAAAAAAAAATTGACATATAATAGGTACCTACCTCTGATAAATTCCAAATTAATCATATCACACAATACCATTAGGTACTTATAACGCGTTATACATCAACAACAAACCCTGATTCTATCATAGATATATAATAGTGTACTTTAGAAATTTCAAGTACCCATGAATAATATTATACAATCATAACAAAATAACTAAAATAGTTATTCTAGGTTTTTTAATTTGTAATTTCGTCCAAATTTGAACTTGACTATAAAAATAACATATAAAATGACTATAAAAATAAACTGTGTTTGTATATTTTTTGGTTACAGAATGAACTATGTATGAGAACCTTTGTTTAAATTTGCAATCCTTAGCTATAAAAACTGAACATTTTATAATTTATTAATTACAATTATTGATAATTTTTAGTGTTTTCGGTCATTTGTTTTAAAGTTACACCAAAAACCAAATTCAATTTTGTGAAAATCGATTTTGCGTAAAAATTCCCGTTTTTCCTTAATTTTTCTTTTGTTTAATCTTGTCGCTTGTGAAACATATGGGAATTTTAAATTTTGACCTCCCAAAAGTACCAAATAGATTCACTTTCCATCGAACAAGTTACCTGAAGTTGAAAATCGAAGCATTATTTCGACTACTAATCGTGTAGGTACACAGATACAAAAAAAAAAAAAAAACACACATCATTGTAAATACATTCATCGTTTCACTCAGAATCTAAAATTTTTATGTATGTTTCGAAATGTACCATGTTTTCAATGTTGAATAATATTCAGATATTATCTGCCCAAATCCGATAGTTAGTGTGGCTTATTTTTACAAAACTGTGTTTTTTATATTCTACAAAAGTATGACAAGTCATATTAACCTTAATTAAACAAATTGGTCTTCAGAACTTAGGGGCTAGAGCATAATCGATTGGTTTTATTTAAATACCTATTTGTATTCATTATACTTACTTTCTGTATTAGTTGATTGTATGATTCATAACTATTCATGTTTTATATGTTATTAACATTATTTTACTTTGTTATATATGTAGTTACAATATTTTATAATTATTAGATAATACTCATTAGTTGATTACCAATCTAATTGTTTTTTAAACATATGTATACCTACTTATTTAGTTCTAATTGTTAAATGTAATATTATACATTATACATTTAACATAGGTATATAATAGCTAGTATATATAGTTTATTTGTATATATTATTTTTGTTATTAAAAATGCCCCCCCCCCCAAAAAAAAAACCCCACAGATTTATATCTACAAGTATTTCGGTATACCGTACCATATCGGTATTTAGGTATACTGAATCATTTCGTTTTCGGTATACCGTTTCAAACCGGTATTGAAATCAATACCGTAATACCGAAAATTATATTCAATACCGTCCGCCCTAGGATATGGACGTGACATCGGCTCTTGAGAAATTGTTGTTTTCATGACAATGTAACCACTTGGCTTTGCCAATTTCTAATGCTAATTTATTATGTTTGCCAAATTCTAAAAGCCGAATAAGTATTGTGATTCGTAGTACGTGCGCTGACAGTATTATGAATCTACTATTGATTCATAGGTAGTTACTTGTTTATTTTAAATAGCTGCTTAGAATAATTTATAAGTGAAACCCGCATTGTCCTTAATATAATATAATACAATATAAATCCGTAAGACCATTGCTATCATAACAGTAGGTACCTACATATTATATAGGTAATCGGGCAAATGGGTAATGCTCATCAATGATAAACATTAGGTGTCTAGAGAAGCCACCTGTAACGGATGGTGTTGAATTTGAATTCAGTGATATAATATCATTGTACACAAAAAAAGGATTCTGGGCAGTGGGCAGAGACGGTGTGTCGGCCAACGATATCTTATGTTATACCTAAATAGTAAATATGTTGTACCATTATACCTACTATACGGTCTATGGTAGCCAGTGAGTTGAATTAATTCCTATAATTTGCATAAAACAATGTATAATACACCAGTTACCTATTAATAATCTTTCAAAGATTATATTGATTGAATTTTAGTACTGAACAATAAAAATAAAAATAAAGAATGCTACGTGTACCTCAGTAACGTCTGTAAAACATACAAAGTAAAAAATAGCTTAAAAACTTGATTAGTAAAATAGTAATTTAATTTATGAAATCTTCTAGTTTTAATTATTTCAACTTCCTATATGTATACAATTTAATTACATTTAAAATAAAAATGGGTAAGTGGGTACCAAACCGCTGTACAGTATAGGTCTAGACGGGTTGCTGTGTTAAATTTAAATTCAATGATACAAAGCGATTGTAATCAAAATAAGTTTCTCAGCAAAGACGGTTTTAGCCTAAATAGAAAAAAAATGCATTTGAAAATTTCAATATGGCTAATAAATTAAGTATATTTCTTATGGATTATACCTAGTTATTAATATAAAAATATATTTTAAAATTTCAAGGCCCTATTCATGAATAATATTTTTAAATTACAACAAAAGAAATAAAATATTTTTTCTTCATTTAAATGTCATATTTGTCACAAACTTTTACTTAAAATATCTATCACAAAAAAATTTTATATTTTTTGGTTGCAATATGTACTACTTACGGGAAACCTTGTTTTAAATTTTTCAATCCTTAGCTATAAAAATGTAACATTTTATACATTTTTAACAGCAAAATAATTCAAAGCTTATAAAAAAAATTGTGAATATGCATTTAAAATAATTTTAAACTTCTGCCATAACAACGTATAAATCTAGTATTAATATTTATATTTTTGACTCAACAGTAACATTTTTAACAACGTTTACACAAAATTAACTAAAAAAAATTCAAAACATCTATATATAGCCCAATACAAGTTGAAATATTTTAAAATGTATACATATAAAATGATAAAATAAACATTTGGTAAAAATGTCAAGTACCTTTTCAACGTGTACACTGTACACACGCCCAAAACGAAAGAAATCATTGAAAAATCAAAAAATGTTATCTATCCACACAGAATCTAAAAGATATAATTTGAATAGTAAACTATAGATATAATTTTAGTTTTTACTGATATACTGCATTATAATAACTTTAAAGCTTATTTTTTTTATTTGAACATTGTCAGTATAAATAATTATAAAAAACATTCTTATCAAATATTCAAAATAACAAAAAAATATAAAACAATACACGTTTATCACAATGTTTACAAAAATATTTTCATATTTTTATTAACAATGAGTAATTCTAAAAGCTGATTAATGATAATGATGTGGTCTATCAACAACTACTCCACCATAAATTTTTACTTCATTTCTTGACAATCTCTCCAAGGTCCAAGTATTGGTGCTGGGGTTGTAAATTTCTACAGTATCAACATTAGATGTTTCAATTTCTCCACCCATAACATACAATAAACCATCTAATGCCACTACTCCTATATAAAAATATAATTTAAATTCAATACATTTTTACAAAGGTTGTCCTAAAAAATATAATTATTACCAGGACGAAATCGACATATCTCCATATCAGCTACAGAAGACCAGACTCCATCACTCGGTCTATAAACCTCAACACTTTTAAGATACTTTCCACCATGTCCACCAATAGCATACATAAGACCGTCCAAGACGCCTACACCAACACCTTGACGGCTTATAGACATATTGTCAACTGGTGTCCATGTGGCAAGTGTGGGATCATAATATTCCACAGAACTCAAACTATGACCATTACCAGCACCCCCAACCTACACAATTTAATTCAATGAAATGTATTACAAATTAAAAATAAATAAATAATATTAAGTTTTACCGCGTATAATAAATTATTGAGTACACCAACACCCAAATCCCATCTTTCAGTGGACATACTAGCTACCAATCTCCATTTTTGAATACTGACATCAAAAACCTCAACACTATTTAATGAATTGTTGTGATCTCCTCCACCAACCTAGAATTACAAATAAAATTCATTCTTAATATAAAATAAGTGAAATATTGATTTAACTTACTGCATATATACAATCATCCAATACACCAACTCCTAATCGTCTTCGTTCAACTACCATGTCGGCCATTGGAACCCAAGATGGAGATTTTAGAGATACATCAAGCATACTAACAGATTGTGAACATGAATTATTCACTCCTCCTGCAGAAAAAACAAACTGCTCTCTAATTACGCCTATGCCAGCTAACTTACGACAATCATCTATTCCTGGTGCTTTCTCACGTAGTTTGGTTGCTGGGTCATACCATTCTGTATAACACTTTGGCGATGTATGAGACCGGTTGAACATTAAAATAACCTGATATAATTAAAAGGACAACATAATTGTGAAGATAAATTAATCAAAACACAATCATACTTTTTGAGAAACACCAAACTGTCTAGATTTACATCTAATTGTTTTTGGAATGGTGAAATGCTGAACTGATTTTTGTAGATTAAATTGTATTGCATCATATACATAATCTTTACCTAAAAATATTATTACAACACTTGATAAAATACATAAATTCATAATGATGGCATATTTATGAAAATAATAACATACATTTAGGACTATTTTTTAGAAGAGGTTCTTCAGATATTTTAAATAATATATCAGGCTTTAATAGTGGCAAACGAACATGTTCCATTAATTCTGGCAAAAAATCTTTTCTGGGATCCAAATCATGATTTACCCATCTCATAACACAATCCAATACCTATAATTAGAAATATTTAAAACTAGATTAAAATATAATAATTTGTTAAATCAAACAATAGTGTATGCTTGTACCATAAATATAAATATAGTTCTTCAAGTCATTGGATATCCCCTTCTTTTCATAGCAATGAATGGCACGGTCTTATATGTATAAGATTATAAGACCATGGTATAGGTAATAATTATATTTTGATAAATCTATTTTTATTAGTTTCATTCTTTCATAACTTTTTATATGTATATGTATTATTATTAATAAAATATATTTTTATAATTGTTAAATTCCCTTTGTTTTACACTGTGTCTATAGCCAAATGTGTGGCCCATCTATGTAATTTTTCCCCCTCCATGGTCCTCCCCCTAATTAAGCCCTGGTATCCGCCACTGAAAGAATATATCAGGGGGCGTGGGGGAGGGGCTGTATTAAACAAACCGAATATTTATGCAGCTATAGTCCTATAGCATAAGCAATATGATATTCATATTTGTGATTTGTTATTTATTATTATTATTATTATTTGGAAATTTAAATTTTTGATATTTAAATTTGATAACTGTCTTATACCGATATTTGAGATTTTTACTCTTGTCGTTTTTACTTGAAGTTTTTCAGTATCGTTTTATTCCTAAATTCATATTTAATAGAGATTTATTTATTAATGGATTAACTTAATATTTAAGTCGGTAGACTGTAGCAATTTAAATTATTTTTCTTTAGCTGTGTGAAATCTATTATACTCTTTGATTAAGAATTATTTACCGCCACGGTGCAAGTTATAGCCAGTAATAGTCAGAGCAGACAAGGAAAATTCATTATTTGATACAAACTGATAAAATGAATGTAAACCAAATATTCCATTAGATAATTAATACTTAGTACAATTATACCTGGTTTACAACAAATAGGTAGATACAAATACATACATAATAGGTACTTGCAACAATTATTTATTTTATCATTTTCAAAATATTTAAGCTCTTTTTGAGCTATTTATTGGCATTCAAAAACAGAATTCTTTTAGTTTTTTTCGGTAACATCCATCAAATAGTATTTATTGTCAAGTCAAAAAGCTTGAAGGATAACAATTTTACATTGTTATATCTTAAAAAAAATATTTTAGGGTACTTGACACTTTTAAAATATATCATTGTATTGTATACACACAATGATATTTTAAAATGCAAATTTTTAGCAAACATAATATAACCATCTGCAGTAATGCAGCATGACTAATGTCTTATGGCAAAATAGATTATTTTAATAACAATATCATAGTTAGTAATATTATTAAACCTCTATTCACAATTCTTTTTAGCAAACATTTATTTTATATCATTGTTCAAAAACTATGAAACCCATTTCTTACAGCGATACCATGGAACAATATAGAAGCGGCACTCGATCAGCTGATTGGGGTCTTGTTTACCTATGATCTGAAGTCTGAACCTCCGAAAAACACGGAAACGTTTACCAATATAATGTTAGACCCAAGGTGGTACCATGTAAATGTTTACCAGAACGTTGGCGGGAGGCGCTAAGCGGGGTCAGCTTGTTTACCATTCCCTATTTCACGTATGCCACACCCGCCCCCCTGGAGACAGTGTTCAAGGCCAGAAACGCCAGATCCGACCAATTCACGGAGTGCCTTACCCCTGGCGATACCTCAAGACACCTAGAGCAATACCCACTTGCCCACCTTCTTTAAGTTGATTTTCCATACAAAATATTCATATTCAAATTACCAATTGCTGTTTGCTTACTTTTTCTTCATATGGAACAGCAAGGTCATTACAGGAGATAATCTTAACCACATCTTCGGAAGATAAAGATAGGAACTCATCACTTTTAACCACTTCCCTGAAAATAATTTTCATTAGATAATTTATTAATGAATAATATAAACAATTAAGTAATTTAAATCATACAAAAAGTGTTGTCTAATGAATGCTTCAGAACTAGATATCAATTCTGCACAGTTATGTAAGTCAGCAAACGCTCTGATACCAAGACAATTTGAAGCATCCAGTTGTTTTTGTAAAAACTCAGCACATGCAGCACTTACAAAATCTAACTGTAAGATGTTTGCAGTTGGTAACAACATCTAGATATCAACAATAATTCACATCAAATGATATGTTATTTGAACTCAAATGTTATATTAATTATTCATAAGTATTACTAATGTAAAATAAATTAGTTTATCAACCATGCCATAAAATATTCTTGGTAATATTATTAAACCATATTTGCTCAGAATCGTTTTTCGTTTACAATGATTTTATATCATTGAACTCAAATATAAAACATCTGATACAGTGATCCCTGTAAAATCTACACATCAACTGTACTGTATACTTGCACACCTTTATTTGTTGATTTTCCATACAAAATATTAAAAATACAATTTGTAGTTTGCTTACTTTTTCTTCAAATGGAACAGCAAGGTCATTAGAGGAAATAAGCTTCACCAAATCTTCAGTAGATAAGAATAGAAAATCTTCGCATTTAGCTACTTCTCTGGAAATAATAATCATTATATTTATAATAAATTACCTACTTACTCTTGATATAGGGAATTAAAAAATGTTAATCATACAAACAATTTTGTTTAATATATGCTTCGGAAATTGACAACAAATCAGTACAGTTATGTAAGTCAGCAAAAGCTCTGATTATAAGACAATTTGATGGATTCAGTTGTTTTTGTAAGAACTCAGCACATACACCTTTTACATAATCTAACTGCCATACATCTGCAGCTGGTAATAACACCTTAGAAATAAAAAAAAAAATTCACATAAAATGATATTATGTTGTTTGAAGTCTATATAAAATTAAATCTTTAATTATAGGTACCTGTACATTTTCTTTTGTGACCATAATTTCTCCAGTATAAATATAATTTACTAATAATTGTAAAATGGTGGAATCTAATTCTCTTATATTTACAAGATCTTTGTTTCTTTCATCAAAATTACTAAACATTGCAGAGAAATATGGACTAGCTGCCATTAGGACAATTTTATTACCAAACGTTATACATCCATCATCTGTTTCAAATCTTATATCACATAGAACTTCATTTCTAAAAACAAAAATGTGTTAGGTACTAATATTTATTCTGAAAGAAGCTAAAATTATCGTCACCATACTTGCGTAGAGATTGTAAGCCTTCCAGTATTTTATCAGAGTGAAAGCAATTTCTAAAATGGGTTGCTTCATTTGATTTCAAAACTTGCTTTACGTTATTTTCACAAGATGATGCCGGAATGGTATCCATTTCTTCTACTGACATAACACCTTTGAAAATATTTTAAAAATAAATATATTTTCAATATCATCATTGAGTTAAAACTTAATACTAAAAATTAAGTATCTATGATGGGGTAAAAACCAACAAAATACTGATGTTAAGAAACTATCAATTTATTACCTAGTTAGTAAGATTTATTAAAAAAGACAATCATAATCATTTTATCCTAACTATCTAAAATCTAAAAAATAATAATTCAGTTTTACCAGTCATCACAAATTTTACATATTCAATTGAAAAGTAGGAAGTCTTAAGACTTTTAATAAAAGTTATATTATAGAGATGTTATATAGGCAACTAAAATATGAAATTTAATTTTCAAATTAAAAATTTGAAAAACTGGCACCGCGACCCTTAAGCATGGGCACAATTTTGAATAAATAACATGAAAAAAAATAAAAGGACTTTTTTTTTATAATTCATCTTCCTATTTACCATTGCAATTTCCTTATAATGTATAATATCCACATTCAATAATATTTACAATAATTCACATAATTCACAAATACCATATTTCTAAAATATTATAATGACAGTAATATGTTTACCTTTCTAGCCTATATTATTATATTAATTATTAATTATGAATTAATATTATTAAAATAATGTAAAACAATAAAAACAAATGTGCAAATGTGCATTTGTTATCATAGGTAGTTGTCGGGTCTTTAATAAAGACCCGACTGTTGGGGATATAGCCACAGCGTACATTTTAATACTAAGTTTAAGAATCTTGGGTAGGGTAAAAATCAACAAATAACTGAAATTTTTTTTATACCTTTCAGCTTTCATTAGGTATATTTTTAGCAGAACAAAGTTGTTTTTCCATAAGTAGGACTTAAGTATAACTGTCTTTTCCGAAAAATCTACAACCACTTTAAGGAACTTTACTTGTAACTTCACATCATGAACAGAATATTCTATTATTATTAAAAGAAGACTCAGAAGAGGTACCTATATTTTCATTGTTAGCAAAGTATTATTGAATTTAAATAAATAACATTATTAAATTAAAACAAAGTACTGTATAGTATATGTTTC